TTCAAAAACAGAGGTATAAATAGAAAGGAACTGGTCTTTTAACACAATTTGGGAGTCTTAAAAAAGCCAGTTAATTTGTAGGCAGTAATTCTAAAAAACTATAGATCTTTAGTACTAAAATTGGAAAAAATAGATGCAACCATCTTACAGTCCCTTCCATATATATACACCAGCACACTTTATATTAAAACGTTCCTAAGTAAAGTTGCTTTCTTTCAAAGAAGCTAGTTCATTATTTCACGAGAGAATGCTGATCTATTCAGGAAGCATTCTGTAATAAAGCAAATACAAATCTTGCTCAAGTAAAGAGAGCAGGAAAATAAAATCACTGAGCACAGTGACTCTGTATATTTTTCAGGTGTCACACTATCTTTTAACATGACCATTCCTGTCACAGCAATGGACTAGCCACAAAGAATTGCGAATGCAAATCTAAGCATTCCTCTTCTTCACATAGCTGAGGGGTCCCCAGTGAAAGAATGATGATCCATTGAGATCATCATTCTGACACCACTGAAAAAATCCATAATTTTAAAAAATCAAAACATTTTTAAAAATCACTAGTCATTAGCTGCTACTTGAACATTATATTGCAATGGTCACTGAGTACCTAATTGGATTCAACATCTGCTGAAAGGTTAATAGCCGTGGGTTTCCCTACATTTGGTAACCTTTCGACTATTTCAGTGTAATTACATTGTACAAAGAAACTCACTACATTAATCAGCAACAAAGTTTGAAATGGTACAGTGCCAAGCTCTGAATAGGAACATTTTGCCAATTCTTCTTAATCCTTCTATATTAAAAAGAAAGTCAATGTATATTGTGACAGCAGGGTCTGTGTGGATAGTCTTATGGAGAAGATAAGCTTGTGTATGAATGGGCAAGGTGTTCAAAGGTATTGAAAGTTCAAGTTGCATTAGATAATGAGTGACTGGATCTTTTTGTTGCAGACAATGGAATAGTTAAGGATGGGGGGGAATTTTAAGACAGAATCTTTGTCATTAGGCAAACGACTGATGCTGTCCTTAACTCCCCCACAGAGACAAAAGGCATTGAGGATGCAGTGATTCCCGACTGAAGAGCAGGTCGGAGGGAAGCTCTCAAGGGGGAGAGCTGCACTCTATCCAATGCACATCTTTCCATGGAGGTTTAGAGGATTTAAAGGTCAGCCCCAAACTGTCAGTTCAGCAGGACAAACATTCAAAACCTTAAGCACTCTAACAAGTGAATCTGATGCAAATGCATAGAACCATAGTAAATGAGGCTGGAAAAGATCCTGAGAGGTCATTTAGTTTATCCCCTGTTATTTCAAGTACCCTGGACTTCAAAGAGAAATCCTCCATACCATACCTAGTACTAACAGCATACTTTGGGGAGCTGTTTTGTAGTGGCTCACAATAGATAATAACTTGTTTTAAGTGAGTTGCAAGTTGTCCTTAGTGTGACTATGAGCACAGCAGTCAGAAATAAGTTGGATTGACAGAGTAAGAGTCTACTCTGAAGTAAAAGAGAAAATTATTTAAGGGGGGGAAAAAAAGTCCTGTACCAGAGAAGCCTGTATCTATGGATCATAGAATCACAGAATGGCCTGGGTTGGAAGGGACCTTGAAGATCATCTAGTTACAACCCGCCTGATTCGACAAAAATAGTCTCATTTAAGTGTGAAAAATTGTTTGCTTAACTGGTATCTCTGCAAACTCTTAGCCTGAGAGCAAAGAACTCAGATTGGGAGATTCCTTCCCGCCTATGACTGTCAGAGGTACAGATCCCACCTGTCTTTCTGAGACCCCTTTTGCTGTCAGAATATGTCTGCATGTGGCAGTCATGTAGTTTTTTGACCATTTCTAAACTTTAGGGGGGATGGACTCTGTGATTATCACCACCCCTGCTCCACACTCCTCAATTTTTAATCTCAGCATCTTGATATCCAGGCTGGCAGGTTGTGGCATTCATCACAGCTTTTTCCTTTCCAAAAGAAAGAGCTCAAGAGGCAAAAGTTGGGCTAGGACACAACCAGGGAATGCACCAGGCCCATGTAGTTGGATAGTCCAGATTATATATATTTCCCTGGGACTTATGGGACTCTTATCTGCATGTCATCTGTAACAGATGTTGATGGACACGTGGAAATTTTGAGGGTTGTGGAAAAAAGAGGCGGGCAAGAGCTTAGTTTGCAGGCATTAGAACCATTGCCTAGATATCACTTGTCAGGACATTTATGAACTCCACATGAGCCACCTTTAAAAAGGAAATCTGTTTCTTTTGCACAAGTTGTAATTGGCTAGTGACTAAGGAGTAAAATACATGGAACAAAACAATGCAGATTTAACTCAGCATTTCTTAATGCAGCCTTGTGGCTGCTGCGTCCCAAGATGTTGAATGCTAACAGTTCCAAATACCAGAACATAAGATTTATTTGGATTATAAATAGATGTTGCCCTGTATCAGAACTACTCTGTTGTGTAAACAGAAAACTATTGGCTTTTGTTTCTACTTTTAAAGGTTACTTGAAAGCTCCCACCTACTCTTTGCTGACAGCCTTTTTCACCTGTTGGAATTGTGGCGCTCTCTCATGTATCAACACCTCTACAGCTTGCCGAGAAGTTTCACTTGAAGCTGTTAAAATATCTCCTCTCATATGCCCTTTCCTCCAATCTCTTGGATGCTCTCCAGCTGGCCTCGCCACTCTGTTAGTGTTTAGCCACCCCAGTTTAATGAACATGTCTTGCTTCTGGCACTGTCCTGATTTCTGCAAATATCTCTTATCTGGAGAAATGTTTTTGCTGCAGTGTCTCAAAAAAAAAATAAATTCATCTGCTCAGGATTTTTTTAAAAATAAGATTTTTAGCACAAATTACACTCTGAAACACTACCCAGGTTCTTTCATCCTTTGCTATTACATTTTCTTGAGTGTAAATGTTCAGCTGGTAAATCTGACCTGTTGCTCCTTTACCCTCTGCCCAGTGCCCTTTGAAATGTGTTTAAGGGATTTCCTGTTTAAGGCACATCACAACATGGGGCTTTACTACATCATGCTCTTCTTCCCCAGCTAGGAAGAGCAGCAGCTGCAAAATGAGGTCCCCTTGTGCTAGGAGTAGCTGCTGGGACCTTATTTTCTGATAAAAAATTCAGAATATGTTTCTCTAATCTCCAGAGAAGCTGAGAAGGCAGACAAGGCACGTACTCCTTGCCCCTCCATCACAGCTTTGCTGCTTGAGAACGTTGACTGCACCCATTGCTCTGTCCTGCATTCTCACCTCAGTTGGTATTTGGTTCTGGGTTATTATACATTTAGGTGCCTGCACGTGAGCCCAGCATCTAAACTTCTGCAGTGGCTGATGAAGACCTAGTTAATGAACTCAGGAGTGCCTGAGCAGTTTGGCCACCCACTATCCATGGGGCTTGGCTCAGCTGCTTTCACATTGGCCTCTAGAGCCATTTTAGTTTCCTGCATCATCTGAGATCTCTTGTGGAGCTGCCAGATACAGACCAGGACCCACATACGCTGACACATCTCAAACTGTTCTAGACCACTTAGGAGGCAGAGGCAGGCCCCCAGTGCTGTTTTGAGTGCCACAGGCATCCTATTAGTTCCCCATTGCTATAACACAAGTGTATGAGTCTCCTGCAGGTCCTCTGTTCTATTTGCCAGCCCAAAGCAAATGTCCCAAATATAGCCTGAGATGGTGCTAGGCACCCAAGTTCAGGCACTGAATTGAGCACTTTCACTTTTCATCTCTGGTACCTTTGCCAGACAAATCTTCTACTGGTGCTGAGCTGGTGCTAGTCTGCTCACGTAAATACATACCAGGAAGCAGAACAAGACCAGCAAATGGGCCTGATGCTGATCAAAAGATGTTTAGATGGTAGGGATTTCCAGGTTCGACCCACCTGCTTTTCTGCTTTTAGATCTCAGACCCAAAGAGGCATAGATTGTGACAGAGGTTCCTGCCTAACTCTGTAAAATACATCATATGCAGCCCAGCCATAGAGTTGATGTCTCTCCTGCACCACTCCCCTGTTTTGTAACTTTCTTTCAGAAACTGCATTTACGCTCCATAATTAATTATGGTCATACATATTATTTCCAAAAATAATAAAATCCTTTCCTGCTGCTGTAAGATTTTTTCTATTTTATTATTTTAATAGAAGATAATTTATTCATATTGCTCTTCTGAAATATCAGGCTATTTATGAAAATGTCAGAGTATGGATTTAGCAGTCTACCTTAGGCACTTCTTTTTGAAAATCTCAGCCAAAGGGAGAAGGTGTGGTAACCTCCTTGTGCACTGCTCTCCAGCTCTGTGGCACAGTGGTCCCAGTGCAATGTTCCACACATGGCACATATTAGCACACCACACTATATTTAGCAATATGTGCCCTACTGCTCCTAAGAGATGACTGAATAAACCTTGATAACACAGTTGGCCTGGCTCCTTTGGGACTTGTAACTTCGCACTGAGCAATAGAGATCATTAAAATGTTTTAATTATATAATTCCCTTTTGCATAGTGCTGTGATAGATAAGATTGCATGTGTGTGTCAGCCTTTCCATTATAAACTTCAGGTCCTTCCCATTATAAACTATTCCCATCCAGAATAAGTGCTCTTGCTGAGATGAAACAATGTGGAACTGTTTTGATATTATAGAAACATATATAACTCAATTATTATTAAGAACACATTAGTAACTTAAAAGTCCTGATGAAATCACAAGCTCCTCTTTGGAACCCTGTAGGAACAGAAGCTGTTCACAGTTATTAGGAACAAACTGTCTCAACCAAATCTCCCTTTCTCGCTTTTATTCCAAAAGGCACCTCTGAGTATCTGGGAATCATATTACAGTCACATTGATGAGGATGATACCAGGAGATTTGCATAGAAACTCAGAGAAATTTCAATCTCTAAGTAGGAACATTTTAGACAGATCACATACTTCAGATCCTGCACAGGCCAGATGTCTTGGCTAAAAGGAAAACTTATGTGGAAAACAGCCATCTACAAGTTTTTGAGGGTTTTTTTGTTGGGTTTTTTTTTGCTGTTTCAGGTATTTTTAGAACTGGACTATGTCTCTTTGGCCCTGAGAAGTCCTCTATAAAATTTTAACCCAATTAGCACATTTAAATTATCTCATTTAAACACCTTACTGTACTTTTCAAGGGAAACATTCTGCTGCTGCTCCTGGTGAAATCACAGGGAACTATCTCTAGGTGAGCTTCACAGGCACCCTCAAGAAGAGAGTTATTCCTCCATAAACCTTTAACAGCAAGGATACCATCTTATTAGATTGACATATCACTCTACTCTCTCAGTTTACTACTCTGTTAGCAGTCAAACATGTGTTGTTCATAGAGGAAAGAGAGCACTTACGCTGCCATATGCTTTTAAAGCAGTACTGTGACCTTGTTCATTTCATCCTTAGTTTGCAACAATTCTATTTAGGAAACCTTAACTTAGAAAATTTTAAAACTCAAAGCCTCCTGTGGTATTTTCTATTGTACCTCCTTCCATTTTCTGGTATGTGTAAAGCTTAAATATTACCAGATATAACCCTGACCATCGCTTTCCAATTTATTTCCATGCCTACCAGACAGCATCTTGCCTTTTCTGCAGACAGAGGCCCAACAAGGCAGCAGACAGACACTTTCAGGAGTGAAAATACCAAAGTGGGTTAACATTACAATAAAAGAAAAAAATACCATGAAGGGAGAGGGAAGATAAGCCAGACAGAAGAGAGGAAAGATACCTACATTTCAAAGAGTTCAGATTGGTGGATTGGAACTCAAAGAAAGAAACACATAAACAAAGGACAAATTCATCCCTCTTTGGCAGTTTTCTCTAGGACACAGCAGGCTATATGCAATAGGAGTGAATGCTTTGTGAACTGAGTGAACTGTATACAGGTACTGGTATTTGAAGATCTAAAACCAGGACTGCCTGACTGAGGACTCAGTGAAATAATCCCTTTCCTCAAGTACCTCCCCAGCCCCTGAGAATTAATTTGGTTTGTCACAACATTTATGAACAGGAATCACAGCCGATTACCTCTTTTTGTTGAGGACATATCTTTTTGAGAAAATAGGTACAATTGTGCTTTAGCTTTAGATGTGTTTTGGAGAAGGCTGTGATCAGTTAGTCTAATAGAAAACCTGTGAGTAATAACAGTAACTCTTGAAAAATACTGAGGCAAGACCAAAACATATATCACAGACTGTATGTACTGCCCACTGAGTTTGAAGACTTGAATACTTACATTCAGAAAAAGTACAGTCCAGCCAAGAGATTCTCCTCCGATTGTGTTTCTGGACAAGCCATTATTTTTACAGTAGAATTAACTGACTGCTGAAAAAATAAGTGGAAAGGCTCAGGCAAGTTAGATTAGAGAAGGTGGTGTTATTGTTAAAAGGAACTTCTTTAAAAAAATAATCACACAAGCATGCACATGAAAAGATACATTGGTTCTGACTTACTCACTGCCTAAATACCTTCTTTAGGGTCAAGTCAGGTTGATCGGATTGATTTTGCCTCTGAAAGTCTGATTCATCCTCTACCAACTATGAAGGTTAATCTCCAGTTCTAATATGTAACAGAATGGGAGAGTAAGAAAGGACGTGAAAAATGCCCCAGAAAATTCATCGTGCTTTCTCATAGTTCAGAGCATTGATAGCCAAGGTAAGCAACATTAGGAAATTGATATTTGTACTCTGGGATCTGGAAACAGAAAAAATAGTACCAATAAGAACATACACTTAAGAGATCTCTTTGGTGTTTTCTTTTTACTTCTAAGAGTTTCTGAACTTTTTCACAGTGTCTTTTACAAAGTCAGTGCTGTGTTACTGTGTAGTATTAGTCCTAAGACTTTTACTGGGGAAATTTTTGTGTGTGTCAGGCTAATTGGATCTATACATATATTCAAGCCAAGAAAATGTAGCCCAGGGCACCATTCTAAGAGTTGATATTCTGAGCTACCTTCCAAATGCAGAAAGTAAAACATGGTCTGTACATCTGGAGTCTCAGAAAGGATTGTAACCTAGAACTGCAGCACTGAGGATTTAATTTTCTTCTCTTTCATCTGTCTGATTATTATTTGAATAGTCACTTCTCTTAAAGTAGCATGAACAATTTTTTTTCATTCTAACAAAGCTGGGACACTACTAAGCTTTCACAGAATCACAGAATGGGTCAGACTGTAAGAGACCATAGTGAGTCATCTAGTCCAACCTCCCTAAGCTTTTTTTGTTAACCTTAAAAACACAGAAGTTTAAAAGCTTTAAGTAATGTAAATTAGGGCGGCAAGGAAGGTTGAAGAGATTAAGTACTCTTGCCTATCTAATGGAAAACGTCCCCCAAGTGTTTGGGGTGATAAGCAGAACAATTCAGCTCAGTGGAAGCCAGGACAGTGTTCCCACATCCTCAACTCCAGGAGGCTTTCCCATCCTTTAAAACAAAATATTAAATAATGATAGCTCCCATTTCTAATAACAGTAACTGAAAAATAAATTTTACATTAACTTGAAATAGCAAATAAAGTTTACGTGAAATTTTTAGAGGGGAGAGGTACTGTATGTATTGCCTAAACACCAGTTAAAAGTAGGACTGCAGTAAGGTATAGCACCTAATTCCAGAAAATTATTTAAAGATGGCAGTAATTAAGCACTGCAATAGTAGAATCAGAAAAGTACACAGTTTAAACATTGTAACTGCTAGAAGTCCATTACTTCATATTACTAACTATTTTATTCTTTTAAATTTTTTTTTTTTCACATTAGCAAGGGGTAATGCATGTCGTTTATTTTATTTTCTGCTACTCATAGAATACCCACAGCAAGACTGGAGGTAAGATCTTCAGATAATTTCAGCTCTAGAGAAGATACATAGCTCTCTTTTTGGATTTTTCCTAGAGACAGTGTAGGCAGTATAGGCAGCCAGTTTACATCTTGTGGCAACTTGTGATGTGGATGTGCCTGCAACAAAATAAATCTATCTATAGAATACACAGTAGATGGGAATTTCCCTGTTAGCTTTGTAATGCAGTCCAGTAAAATGGTGCTGAGCAGCTGACCGTGGGTCTTGTTTGGTTTCCTCCTCCTACTGCTCCTGCAGCTGAACAAACCCCGAGGTGCTGGCAGCCCCATAGACTTCGAACGCCTCCCCGCGGGTACTCGGCAGCTGCACAGCGTGGCCCTGGCAGTGCCACTCAGTCTCCACCCGCTCTCCTGCTGGCCTCCAGCTGCAGACTCCAGGGACACATTTCAGGGTTACCAGCCCCAACTCTGCCAGAACAAGTTTTTGCCATTTAATATTCATTTAAGTAACATTTCAAGGCTCTGTCTATAAATAGCGATTGCTTTGTAGTATGAAGCTCTTTTTCCCAGCTTGCATGAGCCCCCCCACGCCATCCCATCAGGGCCACTCCCTGCAGCACAGCTCACAGGCTGCCACTGATCCCCACACAGTGGACTCAGACATAGTTCAGTGCAAGAACAGCAACAGCGGCACATTCTGCTTCAGTTGCACACACAAACACATACTTACTGCCTAGCTCATCACCGGATTTTTATAATTTAGACTATTTAAACAATTGCCCTTCTTTCAATATTCTTAATAATTCCTGTGGCTAGGAAAGGATGTGGGCTTTTAAAATATTTTGATCTTTACTTATGCTGCCTTCCAGATGCCCATCACTTGGTCCACATCTTGATAGTAACCCCAGGCACATGGTAGCAGCAGAAGCCTTACCAGTGTCACAGAGAGCAGGCTGATTGCTTCAATTTCTGTGAAGTATAGTTCATTGTGCTGGGAGGTTTCTCTTCCTTGTAGGCATCAATGTTCATCTCAAAATAAGCCATACCCCACTTCCCAAACCACCTTCTAACACATCCATCCAGGCATTTCTTACTCTTTTAGTCAAACAGTTGGCCAAAGCCACCTGTGCAGAGGCTACCATTGAGGGATATTCCCCCACTCACCTTGTCTTTTAAGATTTTTGGTTCTACTAGAGAGTTCTGAGTACACTGTCCCTTCTCTTCCACTGTGCCTCAAGTTTAACAAGCATACTCTGGTTCTCCAGGATAGCAAAAAAATTCCAAACAAACTTAATCCACAAGAGGCTTAAAATAGCACTGTAGTGGGAGGCCAGATTTTTGAGCTCATTTTCATATTTGAAAATCCCAGTGTTCCCTTGAGAAGAGAAACAAAAGGATTACTTTGATGAAATTATTTGGGGTTTTTTTAGAAGCTCTGTTTGTTACAGACTTCAGGCATAATAATCCACAAGTAGCAATTCGACAGGAAGGCTACAAAGGCACAAACTCTGTTAGAAACATAAAACCTATCTAGGGATGCACAGCTACGATTGGTTTCCATGATGATTTTCCCCAATAATTGCAATCATCAACCTAGGAAGAAGCACTGGGGTACCTTACAAGTGATTCTCATACTTGCCAACCTAAAGATGCTTCCTTGAAGCATTTTTCACGGAGCAGGACTTTTCACTGACAGGGCTAGCTACTTCAGATATAAGGTTTTTCCAAAAAAACTAGTAGTTATTGCTGGCTATCTCTGCCCAATTCTAAACCACAAATTTTTCTCCCCCAAGACAATGACAGATCTTCAGTTGCATTTGTGATTGTCAGTATCACAGCAAGCTGGTAACTGCGTTAGCCAGTGAATGAGGAGGACTTCAGAAAGGATCCTGATCAAACCATTGCCTTTATCAGCCATTTGTTCTACATATGCAGAGAGCTGTCATACAGTTCTGCTGGCAAATAGAGCAGAAGAGCACTACTCAACAATGTTATTGCTAAGGCACATAACCTGCCTTAAGGCATATATTTGACGCCCCATTCAGCTGTAACAGAGAAAAGCTACTGAAAAAAACCTAGATGATGAAGGGGGTCAGATCAACTGAGATGACTTCTGTGCACCTGGAGCTGCAGAGGGCAGTGTTATCAGCTCTACACAGTAAAACCTGTCACCTTTGAATGATCAGGAATCAAATCCCTCTATTTCTGGTTTCACCATCAGCCCCTCCTTGTTGGTGAGAACAAGATCCAGCATAGCACCTGTCCCCATTGGCTCCTCTATTACTTAGAGAAGAAAGTTACCATCAATGCATCCCAAGAACCACCTGGATTGCTTATGCCCTGATGTGTTGTCCCTCCAACAGGTATCAGGGTGGTTGAATTCCCCCCTGAGGACCAGGGCTTGTGAATGTGAAGCTGCTCCTGTCTGTCTATAGAGGGACTGATCCAGTCTTCCTGGTCAGGTGGCCTGTAGCAGACCTCCACTACTGTTACCTGCCCCTGCCCTCCCTTTAATCCTGACCCATAAGCTCTTGGTTGGCTCCTCATCCATCCCCAGGCAGAGCTCCATGTGCTCCAGCTGGTCACTGACATAGAGGGCAATACCACCTTGTCCCCCTTCCCATCCTTCCTACAGAGCCTTTGTCCTTCTTAGAGAGCCTTTGTCCTTCCATCCCAGCACTCCAGTTGTAGGAGCCATCTCTCCACTTGTCAATGCTGCCACTGAGATGACAGCCCTGCAGGTGTGAGCACATCTCTAACTCCTCCTGTTCACTCCCCAGGCTGTGTGCATTTGCACAGAGGCACTGCACTTGTGTCCCTGGTGAATGTGACTTACTGACTGCAGTGCCTGGGAGTCCTTTGTGCTGCTCTTCAGGTGCTCCTGCTGACCTGCAATTCCACTTCAGGCTCTGGGCATCTATGGCTGGCTCTGGCATCAAACTGAGATGAGGACTGGGATGGACTGAGGTTCTCCTCCCCTGGCAAACTTAGTAATAATCCTTTAGTTTCTCTTCACCAGCTCAGCAAGCCTATGACTGAAGATGCTCACACACAGGAACACATGATACAGTCCAGACCACCACACCACCACGTATAAACTGCTTTATTGATTGCAGTTAACATGTTACAATTAATTTATGATTCCAAGCATTCAGTCAGCTGCTTATAATAAGTATAAGCTGCCACCATAGTCATATGGAACTGGACAAAGAGATGTTTAGTCACTGAGGCATCCTGAACTGGAATCACTTCTGCTTCTTGGGCATTGAAGAGACAACCAGATGATACATACAATAGACTGTTCCTGAATTAAGAGACAGAAAAGATATTTTCAGACTGGCAAACAGAATTCCTTTCAAGTCAGCTTTGCAGTTTGTTCCAGAAGAAATACTGACAACAAGCAGCTGCAATTCAGACAAAACACATTTCCATAGCCATGTCTCAATTATTTTTTTTGGTGATTCATATTATAGAGAAAAAAATATCCTTAAATACCTCTCCACAGGCTGCACAAAAATAAAGAAACAAGGAAAAAAAAGAGTGGGGAGAGGCATGTTTGTGGAACCTACACAGACAATCATAAAGTAATTGTTACTCATTCTTAAAGCAACTCAACTGAAAATCCATTAGATCAACATATTTAAGTTAGAGGCTACTACAAAATTATGTAATAAGCAACATAAAGGTTAAATATATGCACCATTATGAACCTTGGATATAATTCTGCTAGTTTTCACACCACATGAAAACTCAGTATGCTGAGTATCACCCAGCACTAAGAAGAGTCAGGCTACTGAGAAAAATGGTTTACTTTCATGCTATAATTACATTTTACTCCTTTTCAGAATAGGCTTTCTAAGTAGTTCTCGTTTTCTCTAACATTATACATGAATTCCAAAGGAGTATTCAGCCCACAGTACTCAGTATGGAAAAAAGCCATCTGAAAAGCTAAACTTGGAAAAAGCACAAATAAATATATACAGTATGTCCAAATGTGGGTTTTTTCCTTCTCTACATGCATTTTGCATGTTCTAAAGAACAAACCAAAGGAACTGTGTAACTAATTTACAGAGAAAACACCAGTCATGTTGGAGATTGTACCAAAGAGAAAGTATTTTAATAATATTAAAATTGGCACATTGGAAATTATACCAAAGCATAAAGATTTTAGTATTAGCCTTACCAAACACAGTTATAACCATGGTGGTTCTATACAACAGAGCATCCTTTGCACCACCTTTAAGATGCACCGGGAGGCCATTATCCTCCTAATGGAAACAAGTGACAAAAATAAACTATTTAAATACAATTCTTGCAATATTGTTTTAATATAACTACAATTACCCAGAAGAGGAATTACTTCCCCACATTATCCTTCCAACCCCCAAAAGACAATGAACCTTATTTAGGTCCCACTTTGTCTTCAAAGCTTTCACTCTGCTATCAGGTGAGCACTCACTAGGGGAGTACTATAAATGATGTGCATGATTCATTTCTATAGCAGTGACTGGCAGATGCCTAAACACTTCCGACACCAGTTGCCAGCTCCCTCAGGTGCACAGGATGTGATTACCATCCCTACAAGCTTCCCATCCATCTCTAGAATAGTTAATCCCTGCTATAGGGAGCAACAAGGGGAGGAGTCTGTACTATCACCTGGTGTCACACAGGAAACTGTTGTGCTCCACCCAAACTCCTAGGCACCAGATCCCATGATCTTTACCCTTGTCACAAGTTCACGCTGCTCTAAAATTCAAGCCAGGCTCCCATGCTAGTGACTTGCAACCCAGCCCAGCTTAACTTGCTGTCCCACAAGAAAGGAATGGGAGGAGGAAGAGATATGCCTAGAGATCTCTGCCAGCAGAAACAGAACCTCTGACCTCACCCATCACCAACATCCTGCTTCCCCCTTTGGCCCACAATGAACACTGTGCTCCTCACACAGTGTCTCAGGAGACTGGCTTTCTCTTTCAGGGGAAAGGAAAGCAAGAAGATACAAAAACTATTAAAGTGAGACTTCTAATATACTTTGTCCCTTTCACATCGCTGAAGCCCTGTCCGTCCTCAGTATGAAGCTACATCTCCAGGTTATGGCTCACAGTTGGGAGTATGCTCTTAAATGTTCTCTGCTTTCACTAGTTCTCACTTGGTGGCCTTATCAATCAGGAACAGAGTAATTCAGAAGCTGTTTTTAAAGGTTCGGTAATTTTCTAGGAATGAATCCAATCATTTAAGACTTTTACGGTTTTCATAACTGAACAACACAATACTACATCCTCATTAAGAATTATGGGGCTCATCTATGAACTGTAGATATAGCTGTAAGATTTCAGGCTTAACTTTTCATTGTCTTTTTGTCCTCTCACTTGCTGTTTTTCTCTATTTGTTCCTAGGACATATTCCCCCATCTCAACTCCTTTGAGAGTACTTCATCTTTGTACAGTGCCTAATACTTACAAGAAACTCAGGTACAAATCATTTCATAGGGTAAAAAAGCCCTGAAGAGTGAGCAAGTCAACTGCACATGTACAAATACTCTTAGTGTCTGTAGAAAATAACTGCTGATTACAAGCACTATAATCATACAACTATTTCAAAAGCTCTCTTCACGTGTAAAGAAGAGTCTGACCAGTTCTTTAGAAACAAAATGTATGCAATTATGACCTATTAAAACCTTGTTAATCTACTAAAATTGTTCAACTCAATACCTGAAAAAGTTTCTGATGCTCAGGAACTCTGTTTTCAATCTGCCTGCGTGAAGCAGTGCTTATGGTTCTCTGAGAAATTTGGCGAAGAGCCTGAAATAAAAGATAAACAGTGTTTTTAAAACAGTGATATTTTTCAGCTCTGTTCACACTGGGTAATTCTTTTAAAAGCACGATATAAGTGCAAGAGACAGAAAAAGAAAGTGAAAGCCTTTTACAAACAAACAAACAAAACTTCACCAAAACGCACTAGTTTTGAGTTCAGTAAGTCTTTCAACAGATGCTGTAAAGGACCGTTTGACTGATTACCTAAAAAGGAAAAACTCAGGAAAATTACTTCCAGTAAGATACAACAGATTTATGGATCTGCAGCATAATCTTGACAGTGAGCACCCTTTTGGGGAAATCTCAGCCTCTGCCCCTTAGATAGAAGTTTTAAGCACCATGTTCTGTGTCTGACTAACAAAAGGGACAATAACATTCACATCAAACATTTTTGAGAAGTCAAGGATATTCTGTCACAGCTGCAGTTCACCTGTGAGCCCCCAGTGCAGGCAGTAACCTTCACAGAGCTAGGAAAGCACTTCCACCTCGCCACACACACAGCTTAAGAACACTCTGCCATGTCCTGAGCTGGAATCAGTTTCCACAGTCTGATCACACAGGTTAGGCGACCAAAAGCAATGATCTACATATAATTTCTCTGCTGGCCCAGTCTGCCTTCGCTAACACGTCAAGTGTCAAAGCCAAAGAGCCGTCTGTAGCTCTAAGCTGCTGTAGGAGACTGAAATGTTAAAGCTTAATGCCTCAATCAGCCATTTGCAAAAGCAGCGAGGTGCCAGCGGTCTCCTTCAACCAACACTGGCAACACTCACCGCTCCCCGCAAAAGTATCACCACTAAAAACGTGGGCACGGAGAGGGAAAACATTCAGGTGATGCTGGCTGCAAGTAATGGGACAACAATCCTCCCCTCGCCTATCCCAAATA